GCAGAGTGCGTACTCGCTCTTCGCTTTCCAGACCTTTTGCTAGAGCAGCTCTCAGGATCTCCGCCTTGCCCGTTCCCTTCTCTACCTGCACCAATAGATCTCCTTGCCGCGTTCTTCTGAGCGCCGTTATAGCTACTCCAACATCTTCAGGCCTGACGCTTCCTTTAACTTTTTTAAGCGTTACCGCATAGCTGCTGCCTTTTGTACTTATTATCACCGCTTCTGGTATGATCCTTCTTCTTTGCCTGTTTGGCTGTGTCTTCTGATATTTATTTTTCTTGTGCTCTACCGTAGTCCATTCATTTGCTTCCTTGTTTTTCGCATTTTCGTTCACCTTTGGCTTATTTGCCTCTTGCGACAGTGTTTTTTCAGGACATTCGTCACTTACTATTATTTCTGCTGAGTCTGCGCATACCGCACCCTCTGGCGGTAGCGTTGCCTCGTCCTCGATTGAGGTTATGATTTCAATCATATAATTCACCTCGTTTTTTATCTCGTTTGGGGTTCGGAACCTTACGATAAGCTTCTTCAGCACATTACCACTCTCTATTAGTTTCCTTATCTTTTCCGCATTTCGCGGATCGTCTTTCCAAGGTGGTACCTCACTTTTTTCACTCATGATTCACGCACAACCATTCGCTGCAGTGTCACCAGGCGAGTCCAAATCTAGGTGTAGTAAATTGCTAGATATAATAAATATGTATATCCATAAAAACGTTATAAAAGATGAAAATGGTAAAAAAGAGAAAATTCGTACAAGAGGAAATACAGTATCGAATGCAACAGTAATATGGACGTCGAAGAGACACGCTCTGGTAGGCCAATCGTCGAAAATGTTGATAAAAACTTCGGCATGTTCAATTGGCCAGGAACTGAAGATTAGCCACAAAACCGTTTGGAACCACTTGCATAAGACTGGTCTCAAGAAGAAGCTCGATGTATGAGACAAAACGCTCAGAACTTGTTACTTTATCCAATATATGTGTATGTACATACTGTAATCATAATTAAGCTTCGAGATAACAAATCTTAATAATTCATCAAATTGCTTATTGACAACAGCCGTATCGCACGAAAGTTTTTGTTAAATTTTTATGTTTATTAAGGAAAATATAAAATACTTTTCTTAAAATTGTTTCTAAAAAATATGTTTGAAAATTTCAACAAACTAATGTGTTGAAATGTGTTTTTATTTTAATTTATGTAAAAAAAATGTAATGTTTCTATTAATAACGTATAAGGAAATAAATAATGTCAGAGAATAATGTAGGTTAATTCATTAGTAAATCGGGGTTTTTGGTCAACAATATAAGTAATTAGGTTAAAAACGATTTAATATAATAAATGGATTTGAATAATACGAATTAAAGTGCACATAATAAATTGTGTTTAATTATTTAAAAATGTTAAATATTCATTGTTATTCAAAGATTGGATAAATATGAGTGATTGTATATATCTTCTATTTAATTGCACTATAAAAATATCGAAAAAAACTAGAACACCCAGTAATTCAAGTATTTTTATCTTTGTTCGTTCAAGTTTTTAAGTGAGATTTGAAGTTTTGAACTACTGGTATATAGGGTATTTATGTTGGATTGGATTTAATGCGATGAAAAGGTAAATTGACGAAAAAAGGTAAATAAACGGAAAATATATGTAGGACACGAAAGTGACATTTTATATGTTTTAGTTGCTAAGACAAATAAAAGCAATCTTCCATTTGACTTTGTAATATATTTTTTAACGAATGAAGTATGTCGTTAGTTTATTCTATCTATCATTCTGTTGATTTCCTGTCATTTGAAAGTTCTATTTTGTCCTAGCATTAATATTTTACTTTGTCCTTTCGTAAACATTTCTAAATCAGTATTCATTTTATATTATTAAAGTGCAATATAGTAGAGATCTGAAAGACATTTATATTCATGAGTGTTGCTAAATAATGAATTGAGTCAATAAAAAACGTTACATATTTTTCCTTGTTTGATTGTTTTTTCTTTAATTGCGTTATTATAGTTATGAGTGTTCGATCTTGATGGAGGGGAAAGATGGAATGGAAAGTTGCAGGACGTGACAGACGGGCCAATTTTGGGTGACGGCGTCGCTGTTGCTAGAGGTGACATTTCATTTATAAGCGAACTGATTTTGACATCAAATTCCGTGCGGGGGTTTTTATATTTTTTTTTTCATTCGTCTGGATGTGTGTGAGTTGGAGTGGGGGTTGAAAGTGAGTGAAGGTTTCGGCCGGCGCCAGAAGAGAAACTGTCTTCGGCTCCAACGGGGAGTCCCCCCAATATCCTGGACTGACAACTACACGGAGCACACAAGATTTGTCATATTGGATTTTCTCGCATCCACTATGTTTTTTTCTCTCTGTCTTTCATATCTTCTCCTTTTTATTCAGTACCTCTTTTTATCCATGCGAGAGGAGAAATCCCTCCCCCACCACACCTCACAGAAAATGACTACCAACTCATACGTGGTGTCACCCGAAATTGCCAATAAACTCACTTATGAATGCCATAGATCAAATCGTAAAACACGCTTTCCCCAACCCCATTTCTAACGCACATATTTTCTTATATCGTTGTTATCTCTTGCCGAGAGTAAAAATAAAAGGAAAAGAGTAAGAAGATTCCCCATTCTCAAGAAGCAGTGCAGAGAGTATAAAAAAAATTACATATATATCTGGGGCAAACGAATAATGAAATTTATTTTTATACCGCAGTGCCGTTTCCACCCTATACACACACGACACTTTCATTCAACCGGATCGAAAATATTTTATTTCCGTAATTTCAATAAAACAAAATTGATCTTATTTATTTTGTTAAAACAAATACAGAGATACTTTGAATACTGCAGCTTCAATCAGTTTGGAATTCGATATAGTCCGATTCGTAACTTTTAAAACAAACAAATTTTAATTGAGCAAAATCTAAAAACTATTTTCTTAAATGATCGATTTATTTAATCAATCTGTACTGTTTATTTTTATGCGGTTTGAAGTCCGGTTTAAAACAGTGTAGATATTGAAGGATTCGCACTATGCGAGGTGTTGCTGTATTTAAAGTATAATATACTTTGGACAAAAAAAAATGAACAACTATCTTTTACGCACTTCTTTTTTCTATTACTATATCAACGTAAAATACATAGTATTACAGTAAAGTTTTAAGATGACAAAAAGAATATTATTACATTATTATTATTTCTACTGAACTTTTTCATTAAAAAAATATGAGACTATATAAAAGAAGCTTTGAAATTATCAATTGGAAATAATATCAATTATAATATTATATAAGTAAAAACAAAATCCTATATTGTTTATCAATTTCTTTGGTTTGTATATTTAGATTAAATTATTTTTTTTATAATATTAAATGATTATTTCAATTATATGCTTCTAATCTTAATTAATTTCACCTTAATTTTTTTAAGGTATTATCAGTCCTACAGTAATCTAACATTTATCATAATCTAACCTTAGACAACGTTACCTAATTTTACATAAACTAACTAACCTTACCTATTTTAAAAATAAATGAGTATAATTTAACTGAATTGTTTAAAAAGTCATGATTTGTTCATTTTCAATCTTTTTTTATATTATAATGCCTACGAATAATTTCGAGTGAAACTCATTGGGTATTCCTATTCCAATGCAAGATTATTTAAACTCACATAAAATACAGGTTTTGGGGTTCTAAGAATCACAGGGAATTACATCAGCATCAATTGCAAATGAGAAAAGTAAGCCAAAAATAATCATCAGTGCCCTGTAAAAATTTCGGTAAACGATTAATTTAAACAAATGCTCGTTTTGTTGCCCTCCGTGTTCACCTTATTTGACTTCTTGGAAGTCTTTCAGACGCCACTCTATAGAACATTTGCTTGCACAACTTAACCAAACCAAAACGTACTATAATATAATGGGTTAGGCCCAGATTATTTACCAAATCATAATATTATTTCCAATATATTTTTTTTTCGAAAATTGTTCTGAATTGATTTGATTGCAATGAGTTAAATAAAAATGTACAGTTTTGTAAACGACAGATTAGTTGATTATTGCGCTTATAAAATGTTGTATGAATAGTGCGACGCGTTTTCCAAATTAATGAAATTCTGTGGGAAGTTGCGAGTTGATTGAGGCTTTCATTCGAATGGGCAGCAGTCGATAATTATGCACGCGGCGAGGAAAATATGCAGCCGCTGATGATGATAATTGGCACTTGTTCGAAGCGGTTTTGGAAATGCTTATCATTGCGTTTTATGTGGGATTATTTTCGTAGCTGTTAATAATGTTTCAATGGAAATTCCCGCCAATTACCGGACACTTTTCCTTTTTCTCCACGCGCATTGTCATCCAGATACTCCCCCCTTTTGATACTCGAAAATTAATTAATTAACTGCAGGTATAGAGAGAGAGTGGAAGCGACGTGCGTAGAATTCGAGTATAATGTCGAGTGGATTAATTTTAATGTCGCTTGAATGAATGATCGATAATCAATTAATTGGTTGAGCGTCCGTCCCAATGTTCACGTGTCAAAACCAAAAACCGGTGAAAAGTGAAGTAGCAAAAAACAATACGTATGGAGGGATTCGATGGAATCGCGAACTGAACTCGTCAATTAGTTAATATAATAAAAAGAGAGAGAGAGAGCGAAAATTTCTAAATCAGGTTAGTAATTAGAGATGGGTAATTGGAGCGATAAACTGAACGGAGGACCCAAGATTGACTCTCGCCCAACTCCGACTGACCTATACTTGTGTCTCGACTTCAGCTGCAAGCCACTACAACAAAGCAATCTAGGATACCCTCTTACTACCTCTGTCCTTCTGCCCTTCCGCGTCGTGTATCATCTGATGAGAGTGAAAGAGAGATGGAAAGAAATAGAGTGGAAATGATACAAACAGAGAGAGAAAAATGTAGGTTGGAAGGAGGAAAGCCTCGACTCGCAATCCATTTTATTCTCCGATAAATCACCGGACCCATCCATTCCTCATTCCCAAATCCCATATTGCTAAAATTCATTTATTCCGCCCTGTTCGCTATTTAATTCACTAGATTATAACGAAATTCGATCATGATTTCTAATCGAAACAAGACATCATTTATTGGAAATTCTAACATTATTGAATATAATTACAATTAATAATATAATAAATACAGTAATTTAGTAAATAAATTTATTAGTAGTTAAATAAAGGCAAAAATAAGTCGACTCAAGCAGTTGCAACAATGAGACTTTCTAATTTAATTACGTACACATGTATACATTTTAAAATTGAGAAACAAAAATATAAAATCAAAAGAATTTGTTTATTTTATTATCATTATAATTTGTGTTATTACAATTGTATTATTCTAAGTAGAAGATTACAAAGAAAGACTGCATTGTGAGCATGTTTTTCTCATAGTAGTTCAATGTTAATATATATTTTATGTTTTTCTACTGCGTTATTTAAAGCAGTAATATCAAAATGTTTGTTGCATCAATCCGACAATCGTTGACAATGGGCTTTACTTTGCTTTGCAGATCTGTTTGCAATAATGTATATTTTAATCTTCGTTGTTGTTACTGTTGTTGTTTGTTATTGTTGTCGACTAGATCAACGTTCGTGTATGTATGGTAGCATGCACGGAAGTTCAAACATTTTCAGACGACACTCGGTGACAGACCATCATGTTTCGGTCCCTCAGTTGTCGTGTGAAACACTCCCGTTGACACGTGATTTGTTCTCTGTGTGTTGATGAAAATCCACAAGCCCACTGTGCATGACACATGCCCATTGTGTAACAATTCTACAGAAAATCTCATTTGCTTTTCCTGAAAACCTTTCCAAACAGATAAACATATCCCAATTACTTTAATTTTTCGTTAGTTTTTTTTTACAAATGATAATGAAACATTTAATAAACTGATTG